ACGTTCCAGACCTCTGGACTTTCGGTCCAGGTTCCTTCTCTTGCACCTGTCTGTCCCCATCCTGCCAACCCCACCCTTTCCATTGTTGAACCCCCGCCCCCTGCATCTCTTCAGCCCTCCCTGCTGTTGGGCATATGCACTGCTGGGAGGGGTGGTGGGCAGAATATAACTGTAGTCCGGAGGCAGGGGTGAGTAGCTAGGGGTCATGTGCTAGGATGGGCTCAACTGGATGGTGGCATATTCTACAACCTCTCCAGGCCCTGGCAGGGTGGTCTGTGGCCTTGGCACAAGTTTCAGGGCTGAGGTGTCCAGCTCTGCATAGTGGACATCAGTGTCCTCTAGGCCAGAGTCCCAGGAATAAGGCAAAAGGGAGAGATGGGGGGAAGGGGCAAAGAGGGTAAGTATCAGGACAAAGTGCTCCAGGGCCAGGTATCAGGATAAGAAGGGGAAGTTTGGGAGTGAGGTGGGTGCATGAGGGAGAAAAGGGAACCAGGGAGGATTGTGGGGTATGGAGGGAGGGAGAGAGAGAGAACCAGAAAAGCAATCAATCAGAGTCAACACAGAAAATGGGGATTTGGCAAAGGTGTTTACGAAATTGGCCACAAAGCATTTATATGCTTTGCTGAGCTGTGTGTCTGTAGACCACTGGGGGGGTGGGGTCTGGACATGTGGTGGGCAGAGGCAGGGTGTGGCCTGCACTTGGCCCACTGTACTTGGCTCCAAGAGATTATTTGGGCCAACCCTCTCATTTTGCAGGAAGAGACAGGCCCAGAGAGGGGAAGTAATGTTCTCAGGGTCACAGGAAAGTTACTGGCAGAGCAGTGGTGGCATAAAGTGGAACTTGGAGTCGGAAGACCTGGCTTTGAATTTTAGCTGGGCGACTTGCTGTGGCTGGTCATATCATTCAACCCACCTGAGCCTAGCTTTTCATTTGTAAAACAGAAGAATAAAACTTATATGAATTATCACTATCATTAAAACCCATGCTTCCAACTTCTACCCAAGCTCTCCAGTGGCGCTATATTACTTCAGACTGGTTTGATTTGGAAATTATTAGGATAAGAGGGCTATGAGGGCAGGTGTTGCCACTCACGGGAGCTTGCTGTACTGTTAACTCACTGTGGCTGTGCCTCTCCCTCACCAGGCCTTGGTTTCCCCTTCAGCAAAATGACAGGGTGGCTCAATGACCCCTGAGGCCCTCACAGCTCTTATCTCTGGAGCTTTTCTCACAAGCTCAATGCTGATGTTTAGGCAGACAGACAGATGGACCTGTCCACAGAACTGGGGTGGAGGGGGAGATGGCTCTGCTGGGTCAGGAGGGCAGGAGGCTGGGGGCAGGGAGGAGGGCTTCACACAATGGGTGACAGATCCCCATGACCCAGGCTGGTGCCCACTCTTTTTTTTTTTTTAAAGATTTTATTGGGGAATTTGGGGAGGGGAACAGCATTGGGGAATCGGGGAAGGGGAACAGACAAGTTGCTGTCGTTTTGTTCTTCAGTCTAGTTGTGGAGGATGTTGCTTCACTGGCCCATGTTGGTGTTATCATTGTGCTCTTCCCGGGTGAGGCAGATCAGTCGCCGGCCTCTGGACGGCCGCTCACGGTGGCTCTTGGCAGCTCACAACGGCTGCCAGCCACTCACACTGGCTGCCAGCTACACATGGTAGCTTATGGCAGCCCACTGCAGCAGGGGCTGCAGCCTACGCCGGTGCTGGCGACTCACGGTAGCCCAGCTCCAGGTTGAGCTGTTGTTCACCATCTTAGCTGTAGAGGGCACAGCGTCACTGGCCCTCATGTGGGATCCAAACTGGGGCCCTGCTGCTCAGAGCTGGCGTCTCAAGCCAGCTCTTAACCAACACGCCACTCGGCCGGCCCTGGTGTCCACTCTTCCCCTCAGCTGGGCAGCCTGAGTGACACGAAGGCTGAGTGTGCTGATTTCAGCTGCCTTTCAGCAACACCATTGGTAACCTCGGTCAGAGACACCTGGTAGTGCTAATATTAGAGCAATTAGCGCCTCATATTCTCAGAAGTGAAACTCACGCCCTGACGCCTTGTCTTCCTCAGCCCTTATGCCTCCAGAGCCTGCCTGAAGGTGAGGGCAAAGAAAACGCCTGTTTTTCAGAGGAAGGAGCCTGGAGGAGCAGGTTGGGGGTACAGGAGGCCAGAGGCAGAAGGAAGCAGAAGGGAGCTGCACAGACAGGCGGTCTGGCTCTCAAATCACAAGCTATGAGGGTGGCAGAGGAGCACAATAGTGGGCTCAAGGCAAACAGAGCAGTCTGTGAGTAGGAGCTGCTGAGAGGAAACAGCCTCCTGTAGGCAGCCCAGACTCACTTTGTCCCTGAGGGCTCCTAGAAGCAGGAGGAGCTTGGACTCCACAAGTAGGGAATCTGGGATGGCAGGAAGACTGTCCTGAAGAGGCAGCAGATGAGTACATCAACTATGTCCTCATTCCTTACAGCAATGGTGGCAGGATGAATGGACCCCACCTCTGTCCTTCCCATCATCGTAAGGATGCTCGGGGACAGGAGCTTCAGGTAGATGGGAGGCCAGGGGTGTCCTGGGGCTGCCCAAACTCAATGGGTTCTCTCTCACTGAGGCTATCTGCTGAGAGACCATCAGTGTCCAGATAACTTCTCTCCATGGGCCCTGCTCACCTGAGCACCATCTGTTTGGAACAACCTTGGTTCTGACTCCATGGAGGCCTGGGAGATTAGGGGATGATGGCAAAAGGTGCCATCTCCAGGCCCCATCCATCTCATCCCTGTGGGTGGAGGAGAGTTCTCCAGTTTATTCTATAGGTTCCAAGGGCGTGGGGCTGCCCAGGGAGCCCTGAGTGCTTTGCTTTCAGCTTGGATAGAATCTGTCTCAAAGATGGAAAGTGAGCAGTGAACTGAGACTCCTGCTTGGAGTTGGGGAAATGTTGATGATAAGAGAGCCAGCATCTTGTAAGCCAGGCATGTCCCTGGCCCTGGGAACCAGCTTTGCTCTGGCCACATTTCATCCCTGAAGGCACACACCTCCCAGCACAAGCTCAGGGAACTGGTAGAAGTTGTACCCTGAGTTGGCCCCTTAGCAAACTCAACCATCAATTCTATCCCAAGGTCATTTGTGCCCCGGGATTCCTATATTCCCTGTTTTGTCTGTAGCTCTAGCAGCCTTGGAAATGCACTGCTCAGATCTGCCATGGGGAGCACTGCTGACTGACAACCCAGCTGCTGCCTGGCTGGATCCACCATGACATTTGCAGAGACCGTACTTCCCCTGGCGGCTCCCGCCAATGACTGAGCACAGCTGGGGCACTAGTATAGAACCATTCCAATGAGACAGAATTCTTTGAATGGGCATCTCTGGCTTGAGGACTCCCTGTTGGCCTGGCCAAAGCTTTCTCAGAGCTGCTGTCTGAGATTTTCCCCACATGCTCCTCTTTTCTTCCCCCTCTCCATTCTCTGGGCCAGACCTGTGTCTGAGGCCTGTCCCTCCCCTTTACCCTTCATAGGTGTTTCCTCCAGTGAAGCTCTTGTATATCAAATCTGTCTTGTCTCATCATAGAGGCTTCCAACTGACATAGGAGTAGACTGAGAAAATAGGTAGCAAAAGGTAACATGGAATTTTCGGCCTGGCTTGCTCACTGCCTGGTGGCGAGGACCCCACCCTGAGGGGAGAGTCCCCAACACAACATGGCAGCCCAGTGGTGAAGCTTTTGCCAGTCAAGAGGAAACCTCTGAAAGCAGCCCCATCAGCCAAAGGAATGAATCTAAAGTAATATCATACCTGATGTTGGTGAGAGATTAGTGCCCTGAGGGATGCAAGGGTGGTAGTCCCTATCTTATCTCCATTTAAATCATCAGTCTGGTCCCTACAGGAACCAGATGAATCCTAGAAAACAACTGTTGACTACCATGGGCTTAATTAAATGGCAGCCCTGATTGCAGCTGCTGGAACAGTTTTCTAAATACCAGCTCTTCTGCTCGGTGGCAATACTCTGAAAGGCCTCTATTTGGTGCTGTGTCCCCAATAGGAAGAATACATGGGTACAGGAACCAAGGGATGAAAATAGGAATAGTCACACTCCCCATCACTCCCCATGACCCATTGGGGGAATTTTGTGTCTCCCATCCCACAATTCTGGGATGTTCAAGGTGGAGTGCCCCCACTGAACTACAAGCTCAGGCTGTTGCCAGGGCACTTGGGCTCCTTGTGTTCAGGGACCAACCAGCAAGGAGTCGACTCTTGGCGGGGTAATTGGCTCTGATCAGCAGCAGGAGGTCAGGCTGCCATCACGCAATGAGGTAGGGCGAGATATCTGTAGGGCATAGGTGACTACTTGGGCCTCTTCTGTTTTAATGGTGAATGAACACATGCAATAGCCCTGGTCTGAGAAGGGCATGATAATCAAGAGCTCAGACCCCTTAGGAAGGAAGATGTGGGTCATAGTACCAGGTAAGCAACTAAGACCTGCTGAGGTGATAGCTGAGAGAGGGGAATTAAGAGGGGATATGAGGAAGAGAGGGTGAATACCAGTCATGGCCCTAAGATCTACTGGAGCAACACTCCTCAGGAAGAGGTGGCCCACCACGTATGGAGGGGCAGATCCCTGTGTTGTCAGGGAGGACTGTGGCAGCCACTGACATGCATGGCTCAGACCTGCTCTGGGCAGCATGGCCGCCTGCAGCCTGAGCTGCTGCCCTCTGAATCCCCCACAGCATTTGTACTGAGACCACATTCCCCCGGGTTGCTCCCACAATGACCAAACGCGTGCAGGTCCACTCCTGCGGGATGCAGGACTCCTCCAATGGCAAATGTGGCTTGAGGCATCTCTGTAGCCTGCCCAAAACTTTTGTAGACTGTGCTGCTGAGGCTCTTCCTACCCAACCCTCCTCCCCTTCCCCTCCCCTTCCCCAGGTATCAGACCTGCATCATGGGCTAAAGGCTCTCCCTGCTTACTCCTGCTCCTTCCTTAATCCTTCTCAAGTGTTCCCGCAGTGACTCTGCATGTCTAATCCCATCTTGGCATCTCCTTCTAGGGAGACCTGAACTGACAAAATAGCTTCAGAACTCCATCCCACCAAAGGTCATTTTGTTTAGTCTTCTGCTTCTAGCCTGAGCTGTCTGGCCTCACAAGACTGAAGAGATGGAAACCCCTCTCCTTAAAGGTAAGGCAATGTCTCCTCCCCCCACCTCTTCTAGACATGTGTTTTGGATTCTCGGGAAGTCCTCCCTGAGATCCAGCCTAGCACCACCCAGCTCTTCAAATTGTACCTGCCTGAATGGACTCCTAACACAGAAACCTCGACAGAAACTGAGGGCTGTGCCATAGCCTTAGTGCCCTTGGGTATGTGTACAACATAGGGCCTGGGCCTACCCAGGCTGGGCCCACCTTGCTTGGATAAGCCTCTAGTTGCTGGCCCCTCAGGCCCCCTCCCTGCAACCGCCCCACTCCCCTCCCAAGCCCTGCCTTGGTGAACAGTGCATGCTTTCTGCCTGGATCCCTCTCACTACGTGTTGGGAAGGAGAATTGATGACAACATCAATAATGTGACTTGTATACAAGCTGCACTGCCGACAAACCCGAGTGCTGGGGAGAAATCCTCTCCTGGACCAGCAATTGCTCTGCAAGCCAAAAGGAATTACACTTCTCTTGGGAACAACACCAGCACCACCCCAAGACTCTAGTTGACCTCTGTTACACCACTCTGCAGGCCATTCTCATGTACACCCGTTTACCCACTGATGTCCTAATCACATGGCCCTTGGGTTCAGGACATAGAGTGTCCCCATCACCTAGCCCCTCATGCCCATGATGAGCAGAGGTTGGATCACTATCACCTTTGTCCCAAGTGGTCCTGTGTCTCTTGAATGCATACACTCAGTCAGGGTTTCTATCCATCCTATATGGGCAGAGGCCAGGGAAAGAGGGCTGTTAGGGAGGGGACAGGGTCAGAGCTATGTGCTGGGGACTGGAGTTTGTATGAGAGGAGGTGTGGATTAGCGTACATTGGGGTGGGGGGGGGAGGGAAGGGGGGAGGTGAGATGGTGGGGCTGTCCTGAGGTCTGGGGCTTATGTGAGAGGAGGTGGGAGGAATGTGCAGAGTGGGGAAGGGGTTGAGCTGGCGGGGGCTGTCCATGAGCTGGAGCTGCCAAGCTTGGCCTGGTTTTTCCTGTGCCCCCTCCCCCCTCAAGAGGACTGTGCATGCCAGGCTGAGGGGGCAGCCGTCAGAGTGGACTGAGAAGTCATTAGTGGGGATTAGGGCCAGCTGCAGCTGTCCCGTTACATCACAGTGATTTTTATGCTGAGCCTGGGCCTTCTCTTCAGGGGATCTCACTGGAGTCTTCCATGACTTTCCAAATTGCTAACTTCCATCATCTTACCTCTCCCTCTGTGCCTCAGCCCCCCGCCCCATCCATTCTGTTTATTTCCCCTCTCCTCCCCCTTCTCCTTCTCCCTGGCGCTCTGACAAGGATATTGATGCTTGGCTTGGTGCTGAGCTGAGGGAGAAGGCTGACTTGGAGAATCCTGAATGGGCATGGCTTTCTCCTTTTTGGAAACATCAGGGTCTCTTCCCTCTCTTCCTCATACCTCACCCACTTTCAGGCCTGGGAACAATGTTCTTACTCGCTGTCCTGAGGCAGGGGAGGGTGAGAAGAAGCTCTCCAGAGAGTCTACCCTGCCTGGTGCACCCAACCCCCAACCAGGACACCAAACCCAGGGCTGTCTTGCTTGTTCTCTGGGCCCCTGAAGCTGGGCTTTCTGCTGTGCACAAGAAGCCTGAGGCAGAAGAGGGCTCTGCATCTGCCAGTGCCCACTGTGAGGCTCCCTGGGTGCCTCTGTCTTCAGGTAAACTGTCTATAAGTCTGGTCATCAGTGGTTGCTATGTGGTTAAGGCCTGAATTTGGGAGCCAGAGAACCAGGGATTTGAATGATGCTTTCCCCAATTACTCACTGGGTGATTTGGGGCAAGCCTCTTCGCTCCACTGAGCCTCAGTTTCCTCATCTATAACATGGGATCAATGACAGGACTTATCATCACATAGGTTGTTACAAGGATTAAGCAGAATAGTGTTTGAAGTCTCAGCAAGGTGCCTGGCAGAGCAAATACTAAGCACTTCCACTATGATCCCTTTTGTGGGAACTGACAGGGCAGTGAGGTGCAGCCTGGGACATGGGGGTTGGGGTGTACCCTCAGATGGGGAGGGGCTGTCCAGCTGCTGTCTGAGGAGTAACCTATGTCCACAGTGTTTCAACTCACTTCCCAGTCTCTAAGTTGGTTGAGGAATAATAAATGTCTGATGGTCTTCTTACCCCTTGCATATAGAATCGGAGGCTGGTTTGGCCCTCTGGCCTTGGCACCCTGGGATAAGTATGCTACCTCCCAAGACAGGATTTGGCATCTCAGTATGGGTTCGTTTGGCACTTCCTGCTGAGAGGAAGGATGGCTATGCTGTAGAGACAAGGGCCTGGCCCTCCCACCACTGCCAGGAGAGGCTGTGTTATCTTCGGGCCCAGGTGGTCTGGCCTGGGTCTCTGGGCTGGCACTGTATGGGTACTACCCCCATCCCCAAGTCTGCCGAAAGGTGAGGGCTATGGGCACAGATGGTAGCCATTCAAGTGGATGCTGGCCCTCTGAGCAGCTGGGAGTGGGGCCAGGAGGAGGGATTGTGGCTGGCTTTTTGGTGGTCATTGGGAGGACTGAGAACTGGGGACAGGGTACAGAGATGAAGGACAGGGTTTTGGGGAGAGAGGGCTGGGCATCAGACTGGAGCTCTGTCTCATCAGCAATCCCACCCTCCTGCCCTGGTCTATCAGCATCCCATACCTGTTCTTCTCAGGGTACCAGCAGCGGAGTAACTTTGAGGGCCTTCCCTGACTGGGGTGGGCGCCCCTGTGTCCTCTTTGCCCTACCGCCTCAGCCTCCTCTACGGCAGCTGGGTGAGACTGGGTTAGGGGCATCGTCCTCAAGATTCAGTGCTCCTTCCCTCGGGACAGGGGGTGTGTGTGTCCCCAGATCACAGTAGGGGGCCTGCAGGGACAACTTCTGTAGCGCCTGCTCTTCCTGCTGCAGTGGCTGCGTCTCCAGCTCCAGGTGGAGAATCTGGAAAAAGAGCCGGTGAGTGGCTGCGTAGACTCTTCCACACCTCTGCTCCAGGTGGCCTTCTCTGACACCCCCAATTTGATTGGGGTTTCCCTCCTGGGTTCCCATGTACCCCGTCCTGGCATTTGCTGCACTGCTGTCTAGGAGGCACAAGTGCAGCCGAGCCTTTAGCTCTGGGGGCTCTCCTGCTAGGACACAGGGCCAGGCAGCCGCTAGGTGTTTGGTGATATTTTTTTAATGAATGAATGCACTGAGAGGTGGAGGAAGAGGTTTCCCTGGAGCCCTGGGTAGGGAGAGTGAGAGTCTGGGCCATGTCCTTATGGGAACCAGCCAGGGCTAGTGGTATGGGCCCATGTAGGTAAAAGGGCTCTGCCTTAAGATTGGGCCCCTTTCTGGGGCCATCTCCCACTTTTTT